GCGGCGGGTCGGTGGCAGCACAGCCCTTCTCCCCGGGGATGATGTGTTTCTCGGAAGAATATTTTAAAATGTACCAAAAAAAAAAATAACCCCCCCCCCAAAAAAACCAACCCCCAAAACACCCCAAAATCCTACGTCTTCCTCTGCCAGCTCCGTGCAGCGATGCCAGGCTGGAGCTGCCAGAGGGATGCTGCGTGCGGCGGGAGGTTTCGCAGCACATATGTCTATTTTAAAAAAGCCCGTGGTGTGATCTTTTGCCCTACTTTCCAGACTCTTGCCGGTACTTTCCCTGCGTGCGGAGGCCGAGCCCTGCTGGCAGGAGCTCCCCGGGAAACCAGGAGGGAGCCAGCCGCTGGGCTGTCCCCAGTGCCCGGTGGCTGGGACAGGGGACAGGGCAGTGGGATTGGGGTTGAGACAGTGATTTGGTCACTAACGCGCTGCCTTTCTTTCCAGCAGGGAGAGGGAGGTCCCCAGTGCTGTGTGGATGAGACCAGGCTGAGAAGAGGATGGCACGTTTTCTACCCAGCACCCTAAATTAACCTCATCTTCTCCCTTCTCTTCGCCCCAGGGATGAAAAGTCTCCCTACCCACACCTGAGGCAACCCTGCTGAGCTCCAGGCACTGGTGTGGCTCCACAGCAATTTTGGGGCTGGAGGGGTCAGGAGCTCCTCTCCAACGTGGAGGTTTTCCAACCCTGAGACTGTTGGTTTCTGAGTGCCCAGGGCTCCCATCCCTGCTGCGTCGCCCCATCCCAGCCATACCTGCCCTGTGCGGGCCCCCCAGGCCCCCAATGACCATCTGGATTGGGGCAGCGTGACCCCCACCGTGCCATCACCATGGCCTCCTCGGACGGGCTGCAGTACCGGGCTCTCTACGAGTACCAGAAGGACCGGGAGGAGGACCTGGCGCTGTGCCCCGGGGACGTGCTGACCGTCAGCAGGGCCGGGCTCCTCAGCAGCCCCGACTACAAGGAGGGGGACGAACGCAGCCCCCAGGGTTGGCTCCATGGCCTCAACGAGCGCACCAAGGAGCGCGGCGACTTCCCCGGCACCTACGTGGAGTACCTGGGTCCCACACGCATCGTGGCGTCCGCCACCAAGGCCAGGCCACGGCCTTTGCCCCCGCCGCCCGCTGGGACCCCCGCACCCTGGGGTGAGTGCCGGGGGAACGGGAAGGTGGGACCCCACGGGTGGGTGCTCCCTGCAAGATGGTGAGGGTGACGTGGAGCCCAGCTGGATGCTTGCTTTTGGGGTGGCTCACCAGGGATCCACCCTCGGGATGGGGATCCAACCCCAGAAGGAGGGGGCTGGATCCCACCCTGGGGATTTATTTGCCTGGGTGCACCCAGGCAGCTGCAGAAGGGGCAGGGGGTGTCCCCCCGAGGTCACCACGTTGCAGGGATTGCTCCTCTCTGACGTCCAGGGCTCGCTGCTGTGCCTGTGTGGGATGGCCAAGGTGGTCTGTGAGAACAAGGGGAGAAGATGAAGCCTTTTGGTCGCCCCAGGCAGTCTCCAGGGACCTTTTCTTCCAACTGCTCTTCTCCCTCCCCCTCACCCTGCTGCGGCACCCGATTCTGGCTGCTCTGGGTGCCCAGGCGAGCACTGGCCCCCGGCCAGCTCCCAGCCGTGCGGTCACTTTGTGCAAGCTGGGACAGGGGAAGGTCTGGGCACTCGGTAGGGTCAGTCCCTGGGGGTGTCCTCCATCCCTGGGGGGCTGCAGCATGGCGCCGGGGGCAGCATTTGGCAGGGCCCTTCCTGGCATTGGGAACCCTGGCGGTTTCTCCGCCGGGATCTGCTGAGCTCATGGAGAAGCTCTGCCCTCACCACTTACCGTGGCCAAGTGCGCTGGGTTTGGGAGGGATTTCAGAGCAGTTGCATAATGTACCCAAGCTACAAAAAAAAAAAAAGGCAAAGTACCCCCCCACACACCCCCCTTCCAGCCAGGCAAACCACTATGAATAAAGCCGTGAGGGTCTCCTTCTCCAGGATGCGATGGCCAGGGAGGAGCACCCTGCTGGAGGAGGTGATGGAGGAGACAGCACTGAGGGGATGGTGGCACCACCTTTAGCCGCAGCTGCCCAAAACCTGCCCTTCTGCTCAGGCACTCTCCCTGCTTGGTTTGGGACCAAAGCACAGATGTGGTAACTGGAGAGGCTGGCTGGGCATGGGGGGGTACCTTGGCCCTGGGTTTAGAGGGGCACCTGCTGACAAGGAGTCCGTAGCCCTCCAGGATATGGTTCAAGGTACCCTCACCCATTCTGATTTAAGAGGGTGGGGGCCACCTACCTGGGCTGAGAATGGCAGGACTCAGCTGGTGTGGGCCAACTCCTTCCCCAGACACCATCCACCACCGTGTATGGGATCAAGGCAGAAGCAGTTTTGGGTTGGTGAGCAGCTGTGTACTACCATTGCAGGGGACTGGAGGAGGGGGACATTTTGGGGGGAGTGAGCCCCCTTCCCAGCCAAGCTCACTGGCACACAAGGAGCCCTCTGCCCTTGCTAGTTTGGTGGGCAGAGCCCTAACAAACTCAGTGCTGTAGTGTGGGCAACTCAGGTCAGCCAGGAGCAGACCCAAGGGCTCTCCAGCCCGGTTCTCTGGGATTTTTTAGAGATGGGAGAGAGTGGAGCCACCTTCTTGCTCTGCCCCTGCTGCCTGTCACCGCTGCCTCGTGCCTGCCCTGCACAGGGGGTGTGTGGGCTCCTCTCCAAGGGGCTGGGAGATGTGTGGGCCTGTGGGACCCCCACCTGCAGCTGCTGGGAAGGTGGTGATGCCCCATGGAGCCAGGCAGGTCCCCAGCAGAAAGCACAGCCTGGCCCGTCTGGAAGGTCTCAGCACAGGATCCCTGGCCCTGCATGCGCTTGGGAGAGGATAAAAAAATTAAATTTAAAAGAAAAAAAAAAAAAAAGAGATATTTTTTTAGTAGGGGGAAAAAAAAAACCTAGAACCAGGTTTTGGGGGTAGATGGGGAAAGTGCTGCCATCTGCAGGACATGCTCTGGCCATGGCCTTGTGTCCAGCCCCACTGTCCAGGGGATTGAGGGGTGCTGTCTCCCCTGTGCTGTGCCCTGGGGTGCCCCTCCGTGGGGTGCCTTTCCTGGGGTGATGCCAGGGTGCGCAGGCACCTCAGCAGCAGATACTCATGGCCCACAACCACGTCTTTCTGCAGCAACACAGCAGCACGTCCCGTTTTATGTCGGTTTAAACCCAAACCTCCAGCTGGTGGGATTTCCCTTCGAGTAAAAATCTTCAACCTGCTCTTGGAAGAGAAAGGACTTTTTTTTCTTTTTTTTCTTTTTTTTTTTAATTTTTCAGAGAATTCTTCCTGTCCTTTTTCCTTTCCCAGACAGAGGTTTTGAGGGACATCTGTTTTGGCTGGCCTGAATGCTTATTTTCTGTGACAGCAGCATGCCACCCTGTGTGCCCTCAGAGCCCACCGAGTCCCTGTCCTGCCTGGGGACCTCAGGACCTCGAGCAGGGCAAGGACCTGGAGGGAACCCTGAATGGGAGAGACACTGCGTTTCCCAGCTGTGTCTCAGAACCAGGGCTGGTTCTGTGGGGAGGAATGGTCTTCTTTTTAAATAAATAATATCCCCAAAATGGTTCTGCAGTGGATCCAAGACCCTGGGACACTTTTCGGGAGCTCGGCAGATGTTTTTCCCCTTCCTGGGTGGCACCACATCTGCTTCACCTGGGGTGGGAGCCCAGCAGTGTGTCAGGATGCTGGGGTCCAGCCTGGCACCCTGAGGAGTTAAAGCTCCAATCTGAGCTTGGGGGTATTCCTGCTGTTACCAGCAAGAAGAAACAGATGGTTATTTTTTGCCATCACTTCTTTTCCCCGAGCCATCACCTTGGAGGCCAAAAGTGAGTTTTCCCTAATTAAAAGCCCACCCATGTGGTGGGGACATTTTCCATGGGCTACCTGCTTTACTTTAAACCCTGAAATCTTCCCCACTCCCACATGATGCACCCACACATCCCCCTCAGGCAGAGGAGGGGACCCTGTTGCCAGGCTCGGGGGTCCCAGCTGTGCCTGGGGACTGGACCAGCCACCTCCAGGTGGGAGGTTTGCATCCCTTCCCACTCTTCAGGGACCACCAGGACATCACCGTGGCAAAGATGAGACCCCTGTCCACCCATTGCAGCCAGGTTGTGTTTTGGCAAAAGGTCAGAGGCAGCATGGTCCCATCCACAGCTTCCCCCCCCCTTTTTTTTTTTTTTTTTCATTCCTTAAAACCATTATGGGTTTATTGGCTTCACTAGTGGGTTCCTGCTTTCTGCCAGGCAGCAAAAACCAAAGACAGAATGAATCTAACGCTGGAATTGGCCGGGCTGGAGCATGCCTCAACGGGGGGAAAAATTCACACTCGGGCTTTATTTATTCTGCTACAATTTATTTTAAAATATTTCCACCAGAACACATCCGCTCACCACATAAAACAGGCAGAAGAGCTCTTGAAGCATCAGCCTTTCCAGATACCATCCATGCCCAGGCGGTCACGCTCGGCTCTGATGTCCTGTGGCTGGTGGCAGCCCCTGGTTACCCCTGTCCCTTCCCAGGGATGGGGGTTCAAGGCCACTAAGGAGAGAGTGGAAGGGAGGGGGGGAGAATCCCAGCACTGTCAGGGTCTCTGTCAGGTGTAACCTGCACAGGTGAAAGGGTTTATCAGCTGGGATAAGAAGGGAGGGAGGGAGGGATGGATGGGTGAGTGGGTGACCTGGGGAGAAGGAGAACTGCTCTCACTACTGCCAGGAGGTTTGCTCTTCTCTGGCAGGGTCTGAGGTGAGGTGTCCTTGATATAAAACCTGGGAGCCAGCAGCCCCTGGGGATTTGTGCCGTGGGAAGTGTGGTTCATGTTTGGCTGAAGGGCTCCTCAAGGGCTGATGGAGGTCTGCACCAGCCAAGAGGGTGGCTGAGTCCTCCTTGGGCTTGTGCTCAATGCTGTGGTAGACACCAGAGAATCCAAGTGGGTGAGAGCTGCAGGGAGCCATGTCTGTGCCGGGTACAGATCTTCCCCCTCAGCTCCTGCTGCTGCTGCTAAGGGCTGTGGGTGGTGAGAGGGGGCAGTTCTCAGTGCCACGGGAAGAGAGGTGGGGAAGGGTTTTTGGCTTGAAGGAGCTTCACGCTCAGGGCAGGACGCTTCCCGAGGGCAGGGCTCATGCCCAAGCAGTTCTTTGCATCTCAGCAAGTGTCTGAACCCCCAACAGTGACTCTTACTGCAAAAAGGGGATAAAATATGGGAGAAGTTCTCCTCCAAAATTGGACATGTATGAGCCAAAGAGTTGGTCGTGGCTGTGCCAAAGCAGCAGCTTGATCCTATCCTGGGGCAGCCAAGAAAAGAGGCTGGAATTCCCACAGGCAGGAATTTCTAAGCCCCTTCTCCCTGTCTTTCCATCCCAGGGCTCCCCGGGCAGGCAGATCTCGCCGAGCACCCCACGCTCCCCGAGCAGGCGCTGCCGACCGTGGCCAGGCTCATCGAGGCGCTGGAGAAACAAGGTATGGGGAGCCGTGGTGTCCATCCACAGGGTGTACGTGGGTGCATGCGCACAACCACCCGCTCTGCCCACCTTTGGAGATGCTCCTAGGCCATCGCTAGAGCCAAATGTACCCTCACACCCCCCTGGTATCCATGCAGCATGGGCACGGGTACTGTGCAAGCAAGGGGGCTTGGTGGTCTCACTCCCTGCCCGCTTCCATCGTGTTGGAGGGAGGATTTGGGGCTCAGGACTGATCCCTCTCTCCTGGCTGCTCCTCAGGTGTCGACAGCGAGGTGGTCTACAGATCCAGCCCCGGCGTGCTGGGGGATGCTGAGCTGAAGCAGGCTCTTCTGGCGGGTAAGTCCCAGAGCTGCGTCCCTCCCCGTGTCCCTGGGTGGGAAGGAGAATCGTGGAGGTGACGCTGCCGGGCGACCGATGTGACCTGGGCACAGCAGGGACGGAGTTACTGACTCCAACCTCGTTATGGCCCTAATTACAGCTTTGTAAGACCCTGCTTGCATGTGAGCCCCCCCCCTGCTCCCCGACTACCCCAGCGTGATGCTGCTGAGAGGGATGTGGGCACAAAGTTGGGGCTCTTCATTAGAAGACCTACGTTTTGGGGGAGAGAAATATGTTGTGCAAACCTTTAGGGTTTCTGTTGGAGAAGCGGAGCAGGGAGAAAGCCTTCCCGAGTGGGGGAAAGAGAAAGGTGTAAGAAAAAGCGTGGGGTTTAGGAGAGCAGGAAGCGTTTTGCAGGAGGATGGGGAGGAGGGGGCAGGATGGGGAGGAGAGGGCAGGATAGGGAGGATGGCAAAACTACCTCCCCTCCCCTGCTCCTAAATTCACGGCTGGGATGACACGGGGGTCGCTCAAATCTAGGGGGGTTTGG